AACAAACAAAAAACCGTGGAATAGATAAACACTGGGAAGCAATAATTTATTTAAGTTTTATGTAAAACACGTCAGTGTATTGAATTCCATCTAAAAGTCGAATTTATAAATATTTATAGAGGCTATTTTTTTAAGCGTGTGTATTTTTGCCGCTAGTTTTAGATAAGTGAAATGAGTGCGTGTTTGCAAAACTCGAATAAACCTGTTTCGGTAGCTACCAGCGAAATTTCGGCGTCATGGTACGTCAGTTTTCCGGTGTTCAGCAGAGATTTTTTCCAAAGTTGCATGCGCATCTTAATACATATTTAAATATTTTGTTTAAAAATTTTCGATAAACGTAGTACCTTTTTTAATATTTTATTTTCGCCTTTTGAAATTAATTTGCACGGTTCATTTTAATTAATTTAAGGCTTGCTGACTATTCTATGGATAATTTAACTCATTTGCATGCAACACACCCACAATGCATATTAATAAGCGAAAATAAATTAATGGAAATCAACCCATCTAGCCAATAAGCATGAAGCAAGTCAGCAGGAGGCATTATTTGACATACATATCTAATTGAATACTTGTCGTCTACTCGTATAACAATAACCCATTAACGCTGCACTCTCCCGAACTGGAATCCATATACATACATATGTATGTACGTATGTACTTACATAGTTGAATTGTGTTATCCATCGTACGTGACATGTTGTAAATGAGCTCGAGAAAAATTGCAAATTTTACAAAATTCAAGATTCAAGTATCTACATATCTGCCTGTGCTGGCGACGCTTATTAGAATGCTTGAGTAGCCTTTGTGATCACAGAAAAGCAAACGTTATACAAAAGCTGGCAATGAAGTGGTTACGGTTGCGGGGAAAGACTTTTCTTGCAATAAATATTCATAAAAATGCAATTCAGCTTTAATTTTGTAATTAAATTCCATTAATGTTTCTTTAAGATGGCTTTTATTAATTTTTTTTTATGTTCTTAAAACAAACATGTTTGTATGTTAGCTGATGTACTTAATAAAAGAGTGTCGAAGGGGTCGTATTGTTTGTCGTAAACTTTATAGCGGCTAAACCCATTTTTATTGGCTCGCAAGGTATTTTGATTGTCGTATTACAAATTTTTTCACTGTTAAAAAATATGTACATATGTATATCGTTCCGATGGGGATAAAGATAACATTTCTATGGAGGCGTTCCATTGTGACTTATAGGATATTTGGGTTCCAGAATTCGATTAACTGTGAATTTTGTAACAATGTCGTCGGAATTTATACATTAATGAAACAGATGCATAAATAACTAACGTATATAAATATTAAAAATCATATAAATATTAAAAATTGTAACTGGTGGGAAAGTCCTTTGTAACCAGTGTAAAGTAATAACGTTTTTTTGTATTTGCTTGCTTTATTTTATGGTAACGTTGTTTAAAAAAACTCGTAACTCCTTCATTGATACATACATATCGACGATGTTTTTGCAAAACCGCCCATCGCCCAGTTGCAAAACCGCCTATCTTACTGCACTGAAGGCATTGCCTTGATAGGCGGTATTTTCTCCAGCTATTATTTTACAAATCTGTTGTGTTAATAGCGATTTAACCATTTTTATGCATAGATCTCGATGCCTGGAGTTCAGGGTTACCAAATCTCATTTTTGCCACAACCGCAATTTAGGCGGTTTGGCAACTGGTCGTTGGGCGGTTTTGCAAAAACTTCGAAGATATATTCCCGCCTATTATAATCCATAAAAAAAAAAATATGTTTACGCAATACGTATGTACATATGTCTACCTAGAATGTTTGGCCAAATATAAACTACAGTAATATACATATGTATATATGTATATTAATGCGAATTTAAATCTCTAGCCAAATGCGCAATAAGTTGCTACATACAAACATATATGTATGTACATATGTTGCGTGCCAATGTGCTAATGAATTCGAAATTTTATTTAGTTTTTTCAATGGTTTTTGTTGCATTTTATTTTCATTTCTCAGCTCATCTCGCCTTTTATAATATTTTGTTTAAATTTAGCCGGTTGAAGGGGCTGATTGAACTCATTACTAATATACATAAAAATTTAAATACGTAGTATATGTACATATATGTATAAAAGTACATATTCATTTTATTAACATCTATTTGTTTATGTCCATGTGTCCGATTTTCGCTCTTCGAAGTCCTATATCGGAAACAAATGAAGCCCAGAGGAATTGGCAATGGTCAATGCAAACAGCGAAAAAGTAAAGAGAGCTGTCTGTCGACAGTCCAGCTGCATTAATTTAATACTGTCATGGAATTGCTCTCTTTATATTTTAACCGATTGATCGTCGCCTATTTATATATATGTGTGTATTTTTGTATGTATTTGTATTTGTATTTGTCTGAACCTGACATTGGTCCTAGTCCTAATAGTTCGTATGTTAAAATTATTTTCAGAATATTTACTTATTTTACTACGTTTTTGTATGTTTGCTTGTGTTTGGTGGTGGATCTAATCCGATCTAAATCCACAAAACGAATGGCAAAATGAAGAGAGCTATCCATCGACAGTCAAGTTTTATAATATACTGTCATGGAATTGCTCTTTTTGTATAGTATTCGACAATCAGCAAAGTTTACTAAAATTCCATGTTTTTCTGTATTTTGTATATGTCCACAAACGGCATCTGGCTCTTAACTGTTATGCCCAAGGTGCTTTTAAAAACATGTTTCCCAATCCGTTAGTGCTGTCTGTTCAGTAATATTTGTTTGAACATACTTAGTAGCAAGTAAATGGGGGTTAGCTTTAAGGCGCTTAGCCTCTGACACTAACTTTAACACGAGGTAAGGATCTATTGATAATATCAGGCAGATTCGGCAATTCGTTTTCGAGTGGTTTTCAATGTCACTTGGAATGCAAATTTTAAGGGGTGAAAATTCGCTCGGAAATGGTATGTACAACCTGCCTGAATATATGTATTCCGTCTATAGTTCAATTATAAAATAACTAGAAACTTAGTCCTAAAGACTCGTATTTTTTCCCCAGAGAAAAGTCTATCTATTACAAAATCCAATTTTGTTAGCCATAAGAACGTCAGTCGACTTTCAATGTTTTATTAACATTGATCATCTAGCAAACATCTAGTTCCAGGATTTACTTCATTGTAATTCAAACTTAATTTAAAGGAATTAAAATACTATTTACTTAAAGACCACCACGGCCTCGGCCACCTGTCGGTCCTCCTTGCCATGCCCCACGTCCACCACCAGGAGCACCCGTTGGTGGGCCGCCTCTTCCACCTCCACCTGGGCCGCCTCGACCTCTTCCTCGAGCTACAAATGTAAATAGATTAGATGCGTACGCAAATCGCACATGCTAACACTTTTACCTTGCGCTCGAAGTATCGCCGCTTTTCCTCTGCCAGCCGTCCCGCCCAATCCCTTTCCTGTCTGCTTTTTAAACATCGGCGCATTCTTCAACATATCAGGTAGGATAAGGAAGCGAATTTTTGACCCGCGTATGTACACGTTTTCCAAGTTTGCCGTTCGTCCATCACGATATGTGACTGTGATTTGTGTCATTTGGCAATTCATGTTATCTTCTGCCTCTATTAGTTTGCCCCGGTATACTTCGCCGGTAATTGTCTCACACGTGATAATATGCCCCTCTGCTTCATGTAGCACTTTTATTGGTACACCGATAGACATCTCGCTTTATTTGATGATATTTTATATGAATAATTAAATATTTATTTGTGAACGTGGTGCAAAAGAAGCTTTTTTGCAGAACGATAATTAAAACGTTTACACTCGTTTGACAGCCGAAAAGCAACTCGAGCGAGTTCGCCATTTTCATGCTGAATGTGCTTGTCGGTATGCTTGACGGAAAGCTTGAGAAAAATATAATACAGTTTGAGAGCTTTCTAGGCGAGTGGCCTTAAAAATGTGAAATTGCGCTAAAGAATAATTTTCTTGAATGGCTTAAAAATTGAGCATACGGCTATTTTTTTTTGTTAAATTCTGGAATTTTTTATATGAAAAAAAGGTAGGACAGTCAGAAAAAAATTCTCAAAAATCAACGCGATTTTTTAGAGATTTGAAATTTGTATATTATTATAATAAAATTTAATGCGCTGCATACCTGAATTCTTTTTAGAAATTCGTATCAAAAAGTTCGCGATTTTGTTGAAATTTGCAGAGTTTTCTTAATACTTGTACACAGTATCAATCTTGGATTTAAATGGAGTTTGCTAAAATATAAGCCATGTTTTAATACAAAATTAACAAAACAAAAAAAATTTAGCATGTAAAACATTGCGAGTATTAACAAAAAAAAGAGCCGTACGCCCATTTTGGGAGTAACTGTATGTATTATTATCTCATTGAGATAAATGTAATAAAGTATGAGGTAGTTATTTACATCTCTAACTAGATTTTTTATTTCCTCTAGGTGCAGATGAATGTTTGTTTTATGCGTTGTGACTTATAATTTAAGCGAACAAGCGATCCCTTTCATCCCTATAAATATGGTTATAAACCCATAATATTATTATCTCATTTGTGTTATTCTAGCAAACTATGCTACGTAGAGACTTTTCTTTATCATAATCTTATCTTCCCTTTATTTGTGTTTACCCATTCTGACTTGTTTCTAGTGCATCATCACCACGACAATCGAGGTTGAGTAAACAAAGGAATAACAAATTTAAGTATTAACAATTTCAAAACAGAGTAAACAAGCTTCACAGCCACCTGATAAAGTAGTAAAGATACACAGCATCATAAAAATGGCTTGATCACAACGTGCCTGTAGTCGAGAAAATTCCAGATAGTACATAGCTTATTTAATTTAAGTTCTAAATGAAATAACTAACAAATGTTAAGTTCCTGTTTCGATTATTCAAAACAGTATTTCAAATTATTTCACTACAATTGGCTTTCTTGATGGCAAAAACCAATACATACATATAAATATATCTTTTCGACTAAATTGCCAATTTTTCTATTACAGCGACCCAACATTTAGTAGTAGTTTCAGCAGTAGAAGAGAAGTTAATGAAAATGCTCTTGGATTCCCTAGTGTATCTAAGGCACGTACCATCTCCACCTCCTCTTGCGCTACCAACATGTCGACTGAGTCCTTCTGTATCTCTCTCGGCGTAGGGCCTCTGTGGTGGTTTTGATGTCCCTACCCACCACAGAACTGATCACGATAGGGCGTCACTCTTAACTGGTACGTTAAACACTACTTTTAAATTTAAAAATGTAGCCTATGTACATAATAATTAAAATATGCCTCCAACTTAGATTACTCTCGGAAAACTTCTGTGGATTCAACTGGTGGCAGCGTATTCGAACACAGCCGCACTTCATCGGAGTGCTCTGATTCGGACGGCAGCGATTCACAGCATAGCAGTGATGTTCACTCACTATATTCGGAGGAAGATTGCCAAGAGATGGTCAAACATATTTTGCAACATGACAATCCAACACGTATAACCATCAAATTGCACGTAACTGAAAACAAATACACGGAATGGGAGTCGGTAAGTTTAGTAGCGGCTTAAGCCAATTGGAAAATATCATTTGAACGCTTAAATTTGTATTTATTTGTTACTTCGGTATTTTCAGGTTTTGAACCCCATAAATAACATCTTGTACGTTGCAATGCCTGAGGAGCTACCACCGGAGGCTTCAAAGGATACATTCATCTCCTTGCTAGAGTTTGCAGAGGAGAAATTGGATGTAGATGCGGTTGTATTGTGTGTACGCAAGAACCGATCAGATCGCGCACGTCTCCTGGAGACATTCTTGATTATGGGCTTCCAGCCGTTATCAAGAAAGTCGCCGATGGCACCACCAGCTACTGCTAAAGATTCTGAGAATTTCTTCTTCATCTACCATATTGAAGACTAAGCTGACATGTAAAATCAATAATATCCAGATCCAAGTATGTGGTGCTGGCTCAGCCTTAAAAACATCGAAGGGACAAATATACCCATCTGAAATTACCATCTAACTATTAAGCACTTTTTAATTAAAAGGGACAAATGCTTGCATGTACCTTAAAGTCTGAGCTATGCACATCATACTATATGTCAACTTGCAGAAAAAAGTTAAGAGTAAAGGCAAAATTATCGTACTTTATTTAAAATCCATTACAAAATATACAAAAAATTATGAAAATGTAAAAAAAAAATTAAAAATGTATAAAACAAAAAAAAAATTACTGTTAGGCGAATTATATATTCAACTCCTACACATATGATTAAAAAAAAATTACATCTTTATTAATTTTACTAACAACATTATATATGAATTCCATTATTATTTTGAATTTAATTATTTTTCCTTCATAAAATTTAAACTTGCAAATTTTGAATTATTCGAACTTATTTTATTTTATCGATTATTTTTAGTGTATTCCGTTTATTACAAGGTTTGGGAAAGAATTATTGTTTCGTAAATTAACAAATATTAAACATTGATAAAAAGTTCCGCAAATTATTTGATTCATTTCAAAAATACATCTCCATTCAATTGTCATTAATTTGCTTACGTCTAAGTATTCAACAGGACTAATATAAAACAGAAAAAAAACATTATAAAAATTATTTAAATCGTAAATGAACTTGTGTAATAAAACGGATGAAAAAAGCCAGTGCCTTATTTATTACAGACATTTGAAAAACCGGCATTTATGGACCGATTTCCTTCATATTTGGAATATATATTACTTATATAAAAAGAAATAACTCTACGCTAAATTGTGCCGATAGGTGGTGCAGGAATCGAGATATTTGGAAAACCCATATTTATGATCCGATTTGGTTCACATTTAGAATACATACAAATATGGGTGCGTTCGAAATGCATCAAGCCAAAGCATCAGAGTAATTCCCACNTTGGCTGAGCAGATAGACGATTCGACATTCTGCACAATGAACGACGACGCACCCACCAGGATTATGGGTAACTGCAGTAGCTCGCCAGACATCACAATAGTCAGCGCTGGTCTGATAAACAGCATAACGTGGCGACCTATGCTGACTCTAGCATCAGACCATCTACCCATAGTCATCTCGATAGATAAACCAACCGACTTTGCCTCCGCCAAACACCGGACCTATATCAACTTTTCTAAAGCTGACTGGAAAGGTTACGCGGAGTTTACTGAAAACACCTTCACAGCGCTTCCCACACCAACCGACGTCCATCGTAAACGTGAACGTGAACGTAAGTTCCGCAGGGCTGTCACTGCTGCTGCAGCTCGCTTCAAACCGGCAGGAAGTATAACGGACCCACGTCCAAACTTCCCTGCCGAAGCTGCTGTTCTAGCCGATGACCGTCATAGCCTTCGTCAGGCCGATCCCGGAGATCCCCGTATCAGGGATCTCAACGCGGAGATTCGGCAACTAGTAAACGTACATAAGCGGAAGAAGTGGGAGGAGCATCTGAAGACCTGTAATT